GTAGCAAAAAACAGCCCTATGTGTACTGGGTACTTACTTACCAGGTATACACCCCATAGGTACAGGGTAGGACTGCACAATGTATCAGGCACACCATCAGAACAAGTTACATACAAATACTTACCAGATATATACAAGGTAAGTACTGTATTATGAAGGAAGGTACTCGTGGGTATGCACTTGCCTAGTATGTACAGGATAACAAGTGCCTTCTTGGTAAAGGGTATATTTCAGATACATACATGTTCATTACAGGACAGCAAGTCAGTTCATATTACAGCCCAATTCCTATAAGTTCTAGGAATGTTCTGGTTGCCTACCCTACCCTACATATGGTAGGTACTAGGGGTGCAACAATACAGAATATTCACRATTCGGTTTGGTTCGATACTTTAGTGTCGTGGTTCGATGTTTTTTTTTTATAAGAAAAACATTTAAAAGAACATTATTTTATAAGAACACAGTCCTACTACATTAAGATGATGCTTCTAAAGTGTTTGAAAATTGCTTTAAATATCGCTGCCTGTATAATGATTTTTTTTATTTAACAATGTAGGAAAAAAAATCTGTTTTGAAGTTGTGCTATTTTCATACAGTCTAGATTACGTCGTTCTGTTTGTTCTTCCTCTCACCAGGTGGCTGTGTTGGTATGGTGTGGAGTGGAATCTGCAGCTTGCAAAAAAACAAACAAAAGCTATCAAATGTGAGAATATCTTCACAAGATGCAAGGACGTTTAGGCAGAGAAGAGCCTTTGATGCTTCTATCGTCCCTGTGGCATTAAACAGGTCAGCTGCATCCAGGCAAAATGTCAGTATTTTACCCGTGCACTCAATAAATCAAGAAAAATCAATGAGCGTGACCGGGCACGATGAGAAAACAAGGTCAAGTTGCTTATTCTTTAGGACGCAAAAGCAAAAACTATTATTTCTCATCAAAAAYGAGTCTGAAATTGGCAATCTCATCTAAACACATATATTATTTAAAATCAAATAAAATCTTGCAAGAAAATTTCCATCCCTCGTGGAGCAAGAGGAAATATTCAAACTGTCTTTTGAATGAATTTCAAGTTGCTTGGCAACAGCTTCAAGCAAAGATGCAGAATATACAAAAGTTCASCACCAAAGAAATCTGTTGCAAACAAATGATGTCTGGCTTTATGTTTTTTTTTTCTCTAAGCATATGCCACTTCCCTGGTTCCATTCCCTACAACTACAGTGACACAGTAATAATGGCTTTATGTTCCATCCTTTCAAAATGACATGTGTTCAGTGGTTAAACTGCTAACCRGTAGGTTATTTTTGATTGTGGCAGGACTGTAACTGTCTACAGGAACTTGATCAGTGTTTTTCATTTCTTTTTTTATTTTTATTTTGGTAAATCCAGGACGTCTAACCCCCAAGAGGAAGAGCAAAACTGGAGGGTTGGCAGTCTCTCATCCCACACGTCCAAGTGTCCTTCAGCCAGACAAAGAACCCCACATTACCCCCAATCTGTTGATCAGTGTGTGTTTTTGGAAGAAAGACGCACTTCAGACTGCAGACTGAAATAATACGGTACTAAAGACATTTTGAGTGAACAAGACTGCAAAAAAACACTATAAATTCTATAATATAAATGCATTTTTAGACTATAAAAATAATGTACAGTCATCAATGTAATGCATTTCCTCAGGAATAATATAAGCAGAAGCATCAACAAAGCTTTTTCTTGCTCTCTGTCAACATATTCAGTGTGTGGGGATGAAAACAGGTTAAGGTCATTCCAATATCTGGGTTAAAGTGATGCAGAGGAGGAGGAGGGAGAAACGAAGACCACTGCAGCAAGAGCACCACGCTAGTCCACTGACCTCTTTTTGTGTTTTTATTATTATTATTTTAAAATTAAGAAGCTGCACTGTCTTGTACCGCACACTTTAAGGCTTATTACAGAAATTTTTTAATGAACTTTAACATGATAAACCCAGATTGCTCCAGTTCACACTCACTTAAGCAAATTATACACTTTCATTGAATATTCATTTAATTTCCTAACTTGCAGAATAAAATAAGAAATGCAGGTTTTTAGAGTAAATTGTTATTGGTTGTTGGTTGTTACCTCTGAAGCGCTGATTTCCGTCGCTCCCTGAAGCAGACCAATTAACGGATTAGTTTAAACAGCAGGAAAACGCGAAATGCGTAACMGACCTCTTCTTGTTTCTCCTCCCTTTTGTCCTTGCACACACTCACGTAGGTGAGAGCCACAACTAGCGACGGGACGTAAAACAAACGAAGCGGAGAGGAAACGTGGAGAGGAGCGGATGTGTTCAGGTCCCAGCAGTTAGTGTCAGAAGCCTCGGTGACATTGAGCTCCTTCTGACGCGCCAGCTTTTCCACGCGGACGCTCTTTTTTTTTCTTGCTCCTCCTCCTCGTTTTTACTCCTCTACCTCTTTCTTTCTCTCTCCCTCCCTCCCTCTCTTTCAAGGCACGCGCTGAATAATGCAGGGGCTCGCGAGGTCCCGGGAGTGTTTTCTGTCCCTTTCCAGAGACKATCAAAGAGCGAGGCGGCACCGCGCGCATGCGGCGGAACACAATGAGGCCGACCCGCGCGGATCGGGTTACCGCCGTCCTGCAGCCTTTCATTCATCCATTCATTCATTTGTTCAGMCGCTGAATGATGTGACTGCAGCCCGGCTAGGCCCCCCTCTGTCCGGATCCAGTACCCTCCGCCAGCCGCCTCACTTCTTTGGGAGGAGGAAACTTATATCCATCAATATGTTAACCGACTTAGGGCGGAGCGGGTAATCGGGACAACCGGGACGATTCCCGGTGGGCCGAACGTATACACCAATTATTGTTGAAGAAAGGCCAGCGATAGCGTTTATGTGTGTCTGTTAGCAAATTATGGATTTTAATGAAACTTTCACAAAGTAGCGTAATTATTAGGCTACATCTACAGCTGGGACTGAATCCAATTTGAGATGCTTCTAGGCCTACACCTTATCTTGAAAAGTTAAGCACAAAAATAAGCTATAATTTAGTTAACCCTACTGACCTAAAGTTTCGTCTTTGCTAAGGCTCCTAAAACACTTATGTTGCACAAGATCTTTGTTTAAAATTAACTATTTGGAGTAAACTAAACTTTGACAAAGTAGCCGATCTCCAAAAAAAAAAAAAAAAAAAAAAAAAACCTTCAATTTACAACTGATTTATGGAGCCAACCCAATTTAGGATTGCCACCATCCTGACCTTAGAAAACATGATTGGTTTTGACTGGTTTTGACTTAGTTTTACAAACAATGTGCTACATTTTGTGTGGTAGTAGCTGATGGTCATTTACACTAACACAACTCACAAGATCACACATATTTCACGAGATAATCAAAACAACTCTGTTCCTTCACAGGATTAGGATATGTTAGATATAATTGGATGTCAGATGGTTTGCAGACAACCTGTTTTGCATGTTAACTGTGGCAGTTCTAGGGGCGGGTCCCAAGGGCATTGGCCCCAGATGTAATCTGATTGGTCTCCTGAAGTGCCCCTGTCCTGTCACTCATCATGTCCGTTGCCTGACAGTGACAGGTAGATGCAGTTCCATGTCTAAACACTAGTGGCCCTCATAAGTCAAAGTCCAGCATGAATCAAGCTTACTGAAGTCTTTTTCTTTTAAGAAAATTTGAACAATGCTGCATAAAAAAGGTCATTCAAACGACAATCAATGGCTGCATTTTTTCACATGCTGTGTGTTTGAGTATTTTATATATGTACAGGAAAAATGCATGTGAAACTGGTAAGGAGAATTTAATGTGCAAGCTTTTTTTAAATGACACGACATTAGGCTACATTACACATTTGAACATATGTGACTAGTTAAATGTTTAAACTTTATTAAAACCTGGGATTTGTGTGCAAGGATGTTGAACAAATTACTTGGCCCCTTCCTCAGAAAAATCCTAGATCCACCAATGGACTCTTACTACAAAGTCATGCGACTGTGATATGTGCAGACTGTGGCTTGTTTTTGTCCGGCTGAAACACACGAAGCTTCCTGGAACAAAAGCTGTTAGAGGAATGGCAGCATAGATTCTAAACAGTTTGTGGTGATGTGGTACTGAAAAACCTGGCATGGCCCACCAAAACCAGAATAAGACTTTAGGAAATTTGTCATGTCGTCATAGATTAATTGAGCAATACAGGAGTTGGTGAAATTAGCTTCTGTCTGAAATCATTGTCCTTACTCAAGTTGTTAAAGCTTGTAATTGCCTAAATTCATATTTATAAAAAAATATATATAATAAACTGTCTGGCCAGGGGAGTGAACCAGGGGTCACCAGTTTTTTTTAGGGATATGGCTTCCATTTGATGATGCCCTTAGTTCTAAAAACTGGATGAAACTTTTAAAATTTGCATATTTTACCCATCAGATCTGCAATAATCTACCCTGTTATCATCTGATAAACTCATCCTGCATAACTCTAAATTGATTTTTTTATTTAAATAAATGCTTTGTCAATATATCATTATTGTCATAAAAAAAGGTTTAAAAATGTATTATTTTTTCACCTAGTAGCACCCTGAATGCCCTGTCAGCCAACAGTAGCAGAAAGAAAGACTCATTATGTCACACGTTTTTCAAGCCGAGAAGAACACGCTGTCCCAACATCATCACAGCACATATGGTCGTCTTGTTCCTTTCCATAATTTGCACTTCTTTGCTGAACTTTTCCATTGAGGCAAAAGAAAATTGGAGAGGATCTTGATCAAAATGAGACCATGTCTGATGCACACGAAGTACACAGTTTGAGTAAACGGAACCCCAAAACTGAATAATAGCTGTTGTGGCTTTGGAAGCCTGTAATTTAGCTAGTCCCAGCAGACATTTCAAATGATTTTCTTTATTCATTATAATTTGTGTTCGATTAAGCCATCAGACAAACATTTTAATAAACCTTGCAGAAATAATTACCCTGAGTTACACCTTGAAACTTTTGAATGTGGCCCATTAAAACATGTTACTCACCATGGATGTGTAAGGATGTCTGCTTGGAACAAKAGCCTCACAGACATCTGATGGCATGGTATCACCTGGAGTTTGGATGTAATCTGTGATTTAAAAAAAATGTAAATTTCAGAGTTTTCCCATTTATAGTTATGTGCGCTTTAGAAAAATTTTATTTAACATTTCAAAAGTGCAGAAATATTTCAGCTGTGAACAAAAGTTTAACAGTTACCAGCTCAAAAGAAATAAAGTCAATCATGGCAGTGTGTTTATGTGCACAAATTCACAACTAATGACGATTTTTAACGAGTACAAAAGTAAATAAACCTGCCCAAACCCTACAATGATGATACCACTATTAAAAATGTTATTTATGAATGTGAAACTCTAAACAGTTAATCACAAACTCAACTTTGAATAGTTTTCTCTGATTAGAATGTTAGATTTTTTTCACCTGCTTTTAGAAAAAAAAAACTGTTGAGTGCCATCCTTTGCAAACTTTAGAACGACATTCCAGACTGTCAGAAACAAACTACATAGGAGGCAGGTTCAGTATGTGGGTGCGTTAGAGCTGTAGGTACCTACAACTGATGCAGAGGTTTACTGCCATTTTTACAGAGACACATGCTTGCATCAAGACAGCTTTTACTAGGATATAATAATAATAATAATAATAATAATAATAATAATAATAATAATAAGCCTTAGACTATCCATAGTTTTAAAAATACAATGCCAGAATTCTTTCTGCTTGTCCATAAAAGCAGACTCCTAGACTGCAGAGGTCTTGATATGCAAACTCAGACTTCTGCAGCAAAACTGCAGTTGTGTTTGTCAAACTGTTTTTATAGTTTGTAAATGAAAGGTGTCATAACCCATTTCTAAAAATGCACTTGTTTCAATTTTATAATGGTGAGAGACCTCCATAGGCACATGCATTAACACCTTGTTTTGTTTGCTTGTAGCCTACTCGAATTTCCAATAATTGTCTGCAGTCCAACATGCAGAAGATGTCATTTATTGTTTATTCACCCAGGACACCCATCCTGTGTGCTAACCGAATAAAACGATGAGAAGTGCTGTCTGAGTACTGTTTCCAAAGGCTGATCATCGGAGCATGATTAATGTAGTAATGATTAATGTAATTATCACCTTTCATGAACTTGACAAAATATGGTGTTTTTGCCCTGACTTGTATTTTTTTCTTGCCGCAAAATAAGATCATAAATGGTAAAAAAAGATGTTTTTCTGCAGACTTTTTTCATTCCAGTTCAATCTGTTTTCTTGATGAATGTCATATTTACACCTAGAAATCAAAATAAGTTTTTGCTGTCCATTTATTGTGCTAACATTAACTGTGGGTTTCATGTAACTATTAAAAAAAGGGCAAATTAAAAGTCGTGCTTTGTTAGTGGCAGTGGGTAYCATGATAGCTGGGTGCAGTAAGGACAGCTTGTGATCTTTGTCAGCAGCCGTGAAAAAAAAAAAGTGAATGTTAGTGAGAGATGGAAAGAAAAAGCAGGAGACAGCAGGCGGGCACTGGAGAAAGTCAGCTTTATTGACCAAAGATAGAGGATACAGATGTCAGAGCAGAGAGAGAGGGGGGAGAGAGGAAGTGACAGAGTGAAGGTGAAGTACACAGACAGGTGTGAACAATAGAAAATGGCTCCTTTTTATTTAGTTTCAACAGTCTACAAAATTGTGTGGGCAGGCAGAGAGAAAAACAGAGACCCCTACAGAATCAGAGGTGTACTGCAGGCCTGGCAGTGGGGCTGGTAATCTCAAATCTGCTGCTGCATATTCTTGCATTGCATCAAAAATACCCACATGCATTTTAATCAGGGGATCCGGACCGGTCATCGTGTATTCCACAACTTCTCAGGCGTCTGATCACATGCTTTTCTCTGTGTTTTATGTGCACTAACCCACTTGATAAACCAAGCTACACTCTCAAGCAAACTTCTGTTAAATTTCTCCAGACTTCCAATTRCTTAAAGTATGAATATTCTTTACCCAATCTCATAAACAAAAACAAAASAGGATGATGTTTGTCTTTAGCCTGCACAGCTGTACAATCTTTAATTATTTTATTATAACAATTATTATTTTTTTGTAAATCAAACCAAATACTTCAAGCTTTTCACAACAACAGTGGAAACCAAATGGTGAGGTGACTCTGAATTGAGGTTAATTGTGAGATCACACACAGCGAAGCAGTGGGGTGAAAGGCTAAAAATGTGAAGATCTTGCTTGCGTGTTCACACAGTGTAATGTCTTTATGCCAATGTTGAACATGTCTAGTACTAAAAATAACTAAACATGTGTAAATGTGTTAAATTATGTAATCATTAAATAAAATAAAGATGATATTCACACTTATTTACACAGGAAACCAGATAGAAATTCCTGCTCATTGACCAATCACAAAGCCATTTGCAGTGACCGATCACACTAAATCATGCACTGGATATTAAAAGCTCATCATTTTTAAGTGTTTTGTCAAGAAAAMTATTTAATACCCTATCAGTTGTGATATTAGTCATAGAACACAAAAAAGGAGAAAAAGGCAAAATTCAGCTAGCTATCCTAGCCTGGACAAAGACTTTTGCCCCCTTCTGCATTCTTCATGTTTCCTGATGTTACAGTACATCCGATAAGGTACTAACTATTGATAATTTGATAGATCACCTCAACAAAGACTAAATTAATCATTTAAAAAGGAATTTACAGTTTCTGCACTGATGGCATGGTTCATAAATTTGGAGTTAGCATCAATAAAAGTAACTTTTTCCTAGAGACCACCCAGTGTTGATTTGTAAAAGCAGTGCAGCCAATGCATCAGGAGAAAAAGCAGTTAGAGTTATCAAAAAGGTCACTGAGGCGTTTAGATCACTGTCGCCACTAGTAAAGATAGTGCACATGTTAGATGTGAGTCCACATGTTAGATGTGAGTCCATGTTTTAGTTTGTCTGTATTCATGATTTAAATAGCAGTTCTTATATGAATTACTTGTGTTAGGACCAAGAGATGACTGTAGAGGCACTTGGTAAACACTTCTAAATTAGACTGTTTGAACCTCAGAAGCCTGCCACAAATTTGTAAACATCCTTCACTCAGTTTTACTGGCCCTGGTCTAAAAGCTGCTTGATTTTTGATTTTAGTTACTAACGCTTCAAAAATCCTGAAAGAAAATGGGTTTTGTCACCATTCTCTAGATTCTCATGAGCATCAAACAAACCAGTCTTCCCAGATCACTCACTATCATTCATACATATACTGCATAGCAATTTGAATTGTTCTGTTGAGGGTATCTGGTACCTTTTTGGACCTGGGGGTTTTCTGTGTGAAGTCTGCATGGTCTCTCCTCATGTTTGCAGGGCTTTTCCTACTGTTTTAACAAATGAATGTTGGACTGCCTTCAGGCCAGGCCTCACTTGCAAAAAAGATCTGTGATCTCAGTGGGATTTGYCTGGTTGATTAAAGGTTAATAGTAATGTTATCATCATCGTTATTTTCTTCTGGTATAAGGACCTGAACGATGACTAAGGTAAAGGCTGGCAGTGTTTTAAGCCTCTGTAGATTTGAAAAATACAAGCAGGGATCTCTGGTGGAGTTCAGAATATCTATTTGTACCCAACTGAATCTAAYGCTTATTAATAGGGATGCACAATACATCGGCATTAATATCAGTATCGGCTGATATTGGTCATTTTTTTAGAATATCGGTATYGGTCCGATATGTAAAACTGGGCCGATATTAACATCCGATATTTATTTCCCACTTTTTATCTTTGTGTTTCTGTTCTGAGGGGAGATGGTTGTTTGAATGGCATCTGTTTGATCATGATAGTGATATTGATGCTGCGTAGCCAGRAATAACTGCAGTAGGGAGCCATGTCAGAGGTCTGACTGTTTATTTACAGTATCAAAAAATAAGAAGATCCAAGTGTGTTTGTGCGTATTTGTATAAAATAATTTGTGTGTTTGTATGATATCGGTAAATATCGGTTATCGGCCATAATAACAACAATTATATCGGATATTGATATCGGCTGAAATTTTCATATCRGTGCATCCCTACTTATTAAACTGCACATCTGTGCCAAAGCTGTTTGTTTCCAGTTTCCAGTGTACAAATGTGTTCCCACGTCGCAGAGTACATTTGGTAAGCTGCCGTTTTTTTTTGTCCCGTGCTCTTTAGTAATTAGATGCACTGGACAAAGTTGGCCGTTTTGCTCCTACTTGCTGCMAAGTGGCGATCCAGGGCTTCTCATTGGCTGCTTGAGTTAGGAAGAACTAAAATGAGAGGAAATGACCTCAGCAGTGGAATAGCTGGAGTGAATGGAGGAAATGGCAGCGAGTGATGAGGGAGAAAGAATACAAAGACATTAGAAATCCTAGTTTCCCACAGAAACAAGCATCCCCAAAACTCCAAACAAAAAAAAAGATAAATGGTCAGATAATAGCACACTGAAATAGAATTCTCATATACGTAAACATTTAGTTCTCTACATTTTGTTAGGACCRTCTAGAATGAACAGGCACGTAAAGAAACCAAGGCAACACGTTCCCACTTCTCTCTCCTCGCCAGAGACTGCACAAAGAAAAGAGTGGRTTGTTCAAGTTCGTACATTTTTTTGTGTGACCGTTTTAGTGGGCATGCGTCAAACAGAAGGAAGAGGGTTAAAAAGCAACAGAAGAAACTGATCGTGAAAAAGAACTAAGGCTCTAATTGAATGTTTTCTAAACCGGCTCACCACAGGAGATAGTCTGGTTGATTGTTAGAGCCATGAGGTTTGATCAAACAGTACATCAGTGTGACTGATTGTCCATAAAGCCTTGTGTACAGAAAGTTTTGTATGGCAAGGTTTAAGCCTTTTTCCATCTCTATCTTCATCCAACCATAGTCTGATTTCTCCATAGTTATAGCAGCATGGCAACGGCCCATTTTATGCAACTTTTTGTTGATTTGCGGTTATGAAACGTACGGTGCTGCCTGAGAGGGCGGCAGATGAGAAGGCAAAGAAAGTACGAACAAAGGTGATGATGTGGCTGAGTGAAAAGTCAGACGAGACAAGAGAAAATGTAAGTGTGTGTGTGTGTATACGTGTGTGTGCGCCAGTCATTCAGAGTCCAGAAGAGGAAGTCAGAGCTTCTGTTAGTAACCATCCAGACATAGAGGAGAGGAGGGTGGTAATAAAAGGTTGGAAGAGGGAGAAGACTCAGTCACATAAGGATGCAGCACTGGCAGCGTTTCCTCTTGTCTGTACCTGTGGCGGGGGTGAGGCCGGGGGGCGGGGCCGCGTTCGCGTCCTGATTGGCGGGGGGCGACGACGCGCTGTCGGGCTCGCGGCCGTCCGACGACAGTTCCGTGCTGACGGCCTCGGACGTGGCCGGCCGCCCAGACACGAGGTCGGCCGCGGTGCCGTCGACGAGGGAGATGTCGGTCACYGTCTTCTCCCGCAGGGACTTCTCGTCGTCCTCGTCGATGAGCACCACCTCAGCCTTCACGGCGCCGTCGAAGCCGAGCAGCCGCCTGCTCTCGCTCGTGTCTTCAACGTCCTGGTAGCCGAGGAACACCATGGTGAGCGGGTGCTCMGCGCTGGCTTGGGGTTGTGAAGAGAGATCATTGCTTGGGTGGGCCGAGGARCTGGGCTGGGATGTGATGGGAGCAGGAGTGGGGGGCATCATGCCTAGGTGGGCCTCCCTCTGGAGGATGACCTGTGCTGGTGGACTAGAAGGGACTGATGGTGGGGCACAGGAGGGCGGGGACAGATCATCCACATCTGCAGGGGAAACGTAGGCCTGACGGGCTGCTGGGGTCACCGTCACCTGACCCCTTCCACCGTCCCCTCCCCGCACCATGGGCCTGGCAGCCTGCTGGACCAGCCGGTCGACCTTTGCGGAGCTCCAGCCGTTCTCAACAGCGGTGGTGGAGACCCCCCCGGAGGACGCGACCTCGTAGACCACCTTCTTGCCGTCGTCGTAGACTTTGACGCCTCGGGACGCCGCGTCCAACGGGCTCACGCGGTTGGCCGACAGGATGCGCTGCTCGCCAGTCTGCGGGTCGTGCTGCACGCTGATCTCCATGGCGAACATTGCTGTTAGGGAGGGGGAAAGTGAGGGGGAGCGGGGTGGGGG